CTTGGCTTAGCGTCCTCCCTGCTCAGTGGTACCTTTGACATTTCCTCGCCGAGGAACCTACACCGCGTATCACTCTCCTCCAGCATCTTCTTTACAAGACGCTGCCTAGGTGTGTTGAACAGCAGTGAAACACCACGTTGGAGGGCATGGACGGTTGTCTCGAGGTTCGCAACCACCAAATAGGTTGCCATACCAATACAAATGGTGACAATAACGAGGTTGGTGGCGTTGTAGTCTTCATTGATACTCCACATCGACATGCAAAAGCCCAGCGGCAGGTAGAAGATGCTGACAAAGGTCAACAGCTTGACGTTTTGGCTCAGTCTCGTTGCTTCGCGAGTCTCTATGACACTGCTGGCATTGAAAAGCTAACTCTCGAATTAGTGAGATGCCGCATTGAATTACGGCGTGTAGAAGGTGCTCAATGAAGGCGGGCCCAGATGTCCGACATGTGATGGTTGCGAGAGAAAGTCTTCTTCAGTGCGTTAGCGGGGGCATTTTCACTTACCCCATCTCTGTACTCGATGATCTTCTGCCTCCTAGCCTCGAAGCCCTGTCGGGTATTCTTCAAGCTTTGAATCCGTAAATCAACCGAAGCAAGAAGTTCATCAACGGACCTGTCGCCAATGTGTGGCTTTTTTTCGGCTTTGACGTGCTTGTCCACTAGGTGCTGTTCGCTTCGGCGAATATGCCTTTCGTTCCTCTCCCAAAACATCTCCCACCGTTCGATCGTAACGTTGATATCCTGAATAAATCTGCCAAGTCCGTTGATAGCCCAGAAGTATAGTCTTGATCGCGAGAAGTGTCTGTCGTCAAAGAGAAGACTGTCGTGTTGCTCCGGGTTGAATATCAATTCGCGCTTGGCGTCAAGACGATCAAAATAAGGATCGAGTTCTGCCCATTCCTTTGCCGCGCGGCTCAAACCACGGTCTATAAACTCCAATATCCCAGTTCGCAGACTGACTGTTGAGTTCCAAAAAGTATCCCCGGATTCCTCTGGTAGGACATAAAATTCAGGCGGAGGAAGAACGAGGAGGGTCCAGTATGGCCCAGATCGTTCTCCAGTCTGCACCGTCTCATAGTTTGAGTTGTACATCGTGACGCTGAATGATTGACGGCTGAGAAAGTACCCGTCCTCTAGATATAGAGGTCCGTATCCCCAGCAAGATTTGTAAGGTGTTGGAGACACGCGATACCACGAGATATGGAACGTGTCCCATTGTCCGCTCGCAGTGACCGCGGTTCCCCAAAGAGGGTCAGCTTTCAGGTGTTGAGTGACAGCCAGTTCCAGATGACCTGCGAGTGAGAGACCTGTTTCTTGGAATACAAGGTCCATTCCATGGGAAGGATCGGAAAAAAGAAAATGGACAAACATGCGAGCCACGTCAGCTGCGTCAATGAGCTCCAGTCCATTGACGTCTATTATGCGATACCAGGGCCTGCAGTTAGGGGCCAAGTTAGTCGCGGACTTCTCTTGGTCTCGTCCATGATCGCCTGCCTGATCTCATGTTCTTCATCCTTGCGCTCTTCATCGGGGCCCTGGGGTTAGGTACCTAATCGTTTGAGACTTTCCACCGTCATCGATGTGCGCTTCCAGACGAAGCCATTTCCTGGCACATGAAGCCCAATCGCCGGCATACCAATGTCCTTCTTCGGCCGTGAGTAACTGAAAGAACTCCAGGTATATGTCTTTGGGAATCAACTTGTAATATCTGTCAACGCGCCGGTTCTCATTGTAACGGTGCCATCGAATGGAGTCGTTTGTGACTGGGAACTTGTCGAATAGTTCATCTCTGTCACTCCACAACATATCTGACGGGTAGTAGCAGAAGTGGTTGCCGCAAGCATCATAATCCCATAATATGAAAGTCCCAGCAGCCTGGTGTAAGTTTTCCAGAAGCTGAGTTGCCTTGATGAGGTATCCATCCAGTTCGCCCTTGCTTCTCATGCGCCGGAGGGTCAGCGGCTCAAAGCCAAGGGGAAGCCGTGTGTCTGCAGGTACAGAATACAAGTTGTTCAGGGCGTCTACTAGAATGTCAGCATAATCCCCGAGTCCCGTGGTTCGTGCCTTGTCGTCGTCGTCTCGGTATTCCCAGGATTGTTTTACTCGTCTTGTCATGCTAAAAGCATAGGAATCATAAGACTGGTCTGGCCGGCTGAATCCTGAGTTGCGCTCACCCGGCGGGTACAGCAAAGGGTCGAGAGGTCGTGGTGTTGTGAACAAATGATCATCAATGTGATACCCCTTTTGTTCTTTTTGAAGACACAGTACGTAACTGTTTCGCAGTTTCCATTCTGGATGGACTTCCCATTTGGATATGAGATCAGGTTCGGATTTGGCGTAGACAAGAGTTGTTGTTTCTCCAGGTTGCTCCAGTTTACCACCTGCCCAACGTCAATGTTAGACTGGAGCTTGATAGGTACGTAGGGGTAGGAAACTAGGGTGCTTGCTGTCCTGAAGTGCCTTGGCTTCAATGTCCGGAGGCTCTGGTGCGTTGTTTCTCACTGGTTGCACAGCAGCCGACCTTTGATGGGCCTTGGATTCAACCTCCGGAACCTTTGATGAGTCATTGTTGCTAGGTTTCTCAGCAGCCGTCTTCTTTTCCGCTTCCCTTTGATTCAGTTCCAGGAGCGCTTGGAGCAGCAATGAGTTTGTCTTCAAATGATCGGTCTGTGCAGCTAGGGTGTCCTTGATATCTTTGAGAATATTGACGAGCTCTGAGGTGTGGTCTGTCGACATCTTCGGTGTGCGTTCGAGATGATGAGCTCCTCGGTTCGAACATCAGGCAAAGATTTGACGAAGAAAAGTTCCGATAACGTCTGAAGCGGAAGGACCTGCGAGCTGCTGCACTTCTCAAAGCTTGCATGCCTTCCTCGGCGTCATGAGTGTTGTTGCAATGGAAGTGTGTATCCAAAGCTGCCCAATCACTGCCACTGGGAGGCCTAACAATGGGGCCGATGCAACCCTTTTCCGTGCAATTCAAGTTCATTGGTCATCGACGAGGCCTTTAGCAGTTGATATGCAGCCAACGTGCAGATGAGGCCGTCAGAAGCTTTGTTCTTGCCACCATGCACATATTGCTGCGAAGTCACGATCAAATGACAAGCGGTTGACTGCGGTCGACGGTCGTCTTCCTAAGGCAATAGCCATAAGCGGACAGAACAATTCATGGCTCCCAGATATAGCCCGAGCTTGGGGACCACGAAATCGTCCTTGCCAAAAGACGGGACCTCCCCAAAACGTCAGTCTCTTGATCCTCCCCCTCCTTAGTCAACCCCTCCCTTGTCCGCCCTAGAAGCCGGCCCTACCCCTTATTCATCACCATCACTTTGATCCTGATCAAACCCTTCTTCTTCTCCTTCCTTAAGTGTCCGACTCCTTCCAGGACTGCGTCTTTGTCCATTTGCCACCATCACTTCTTCCGATGTCATCATAAGTCGACCTGCCAAGCGTACACTCACATCACAGACCTGGGTACGAGGGCACTAGAAGTCCCGGCACTGTTGCTATACAGGAGACAGGTAACTGCTCACGAAGTGAATTCGAATGAACAGCAACAATCAACCCGAAGTGATTGACCAGCCATCAGTTCGGTTCGACCACTATCCCAGGTTGAGCGACATGCAATGCCTATGAGCCTCATCAGCCACAGCCGCTTTTCCCGCACGGGATGTAACAAACGACCGTTGTTGGCGTGCCAGTTACCGACATTCCTATCGTATTGGTCGTTCTTGTTGACAGAGTAAGCCGTCGACTTTTGACGCCGTTACTGACACTGTGTTGTGATCTGTCGAGCTTCAGTGTGAAGCTGGACTTGACGAATGACGATTCCCATCTAAGCTTTCAAGGCCTCTCGAGGAGCAACCCATCACCGGTAAGGAGCGTTACGAAGTTCACCGCGAAGCCGACTGCTGTTTGAAGTCAGGCCGGGGCTGTTATGGCTTGCCGTCAGACCCGAGACACATTACACAAGCCGGGGGTGGACCATCAAGAAAGCTGAGGCATAGCGGCAAGACCGCGTGGCGTGAGTTGTTCAAAGCAGATGTAAAACTTCAACCTTCATGCATTCATCGTCCATCATACCCTCGTAGTATTGCTGAAGAATAGAGCGGGATAGGCACAGGACGAAGACTCGCTGGGCAGACTGGGTTCGACGGCGCCCTGTTGCGTCGTCAGTTAGCAGGTCAATCTCGTGTGCAGGGGAAAGAAATCAGACGAACGAGAAAACAGGCGGAGCACTAGTATTCACGACGGAGACCATGATGTATCACGAGTCCCTCCTAAAATACCGTCGTTTGCATGGCAATGACAGGATGAGCATCGCTCATGTCGACGGCTCGAACTGATCAAGAGATGGAGCTCCGGTGACGTCGCGTGGGGCCGTGGCACTGGGACTTGGGTAAAAAAGAGATGGTGCCGTCAATTGGCATCTTGAGGCAGGGCTGTGTGCAAGTGGTCGTTTTTCAGAGAATACGAGGCATCAAGAGGAAGTCAATTCCAGGATGAAATGGGACACAACGGAGAAGAAAGGCATTGCGTAGCGCTTGGGTGCAGCAATTGCAGAGGGCATTTCGGCTGGTGCAGCCGGTGCGTGCGGCAGGCAAATTTCACTAACAGCGAAAGCTAGCAAGCTCGGTGTGTACACAGTTAGTACAGTTAGTATGGTACTACTTTATGACTTGTCGGAGCGCCGCGTATTTGATGAGGATGCTGTTGAAGACGATGACGACCAGACAGAGACAGACAAAGGCAAAGATGCCCTCTGTGATAAGCCCTACACCTTCCCCAAAAGGTCTTTCGCAATCTTTAATTATCGCCATTGAACTTGGAGAACCGCATGTCGAAGGAAGACTGCAGTGCCCCTGCCCTACTTGGACCTCCTCCCAAAAAAAAAAAAAAAAAAAAAAAAAAAAAAAAAAAAAAAGAAGGAGCCACAATGTTGAAATTCTCCAAAAGGTGGTAAGGCGAATGGTACCTACAAAAAGAAAAAGAAAAAAGATGGGATTGCCAGGAATCGAACCTGGGTCCTCTCGGATCCGTTGTATGTCGAATTTGACCACAACGAGAAGTACTGACCACTATACTACAATCCCTATTGGTTGTTATTGAAAATCGGCCGCAGATTTGTGCTCATAATGGCCACATAAAGCTCCCCAAACTCACAGTACCATTCCCTCTTCGTTCATCTTGCGAAATTTGGTCAATGAACAACGCAATTGATGAGGTGGTGGTGCAACAGTTTCACGCAAGGGCGTCCTCGACTCAAAACGTCTTGGTCCTGTGCTTCTCATTGGCCAACCGACGACTACCTACATGCATGCCATCCCGAGCCAATCTTGCAACATCACTCAATGATGCATGATGCTCGCTGATTAATGATGCGTGATGTCTTTGATCGCGGTCCACAAGAGCGGCAAGTCGACGGAAAGGTGGAGGAATGGAAGAGGGGAAAGTTGTATAAGTAGGTAGGTAGTGCATCGTGGCTGCCGTTCAGGAACCTCTCTCTCTCTCTCTTTCGCTTGCAATCCTCCCCAACATCACAAAAGCACTCGCCAATTCTGATTCAACCGCATCAAAAAGCTCGCAAATTAAGTACTTATTGATCGACAAAGAACAATCCGGATTCACAACAAACAAGTGATTCCTATCATAACCAACCGTCATCATGTCTTCCACCATCAACACCGTCGCTGTCCTCGGTGTAAGTCACCCCTGTCCAAAGCTCGCTCTGCCTTTGCGCCATCATCCCACAGCCCATCTAACCACATCCCTCTTCCCGCCGCCCAACAGGGCACAGGCAACTTAGGCACCCACATAGTCCGCGCCCTCCTAGTCGGCGGTTTCACCGTGACCATCTTAACCCGCTCCGGTTCCACTTCTTCCAAGCCCTCCTTCACCCCCTACACCGTCACCTTCACAGCAGTCGACTACTCCTCCCCTTCGTCTCTGCAGTCCGCCTTCGAGGGCCAAGACGCCGTAGTCTCGGTCCTCGCCACCGCTGCGGTGCAAGAGCAAAAGAAGATCGTTGACGCGGCGATCGCGGCCGGCGTCAAGAGATTTGTGCCGAGCGAGTTTGGGGTTAACACTCGCCAGAAAGGGGTGGAGAAGACCAAGATCGGGGAGCTGTTGGCGGGCAAGAGGGAGGTTGTTGATTACCTGATTCAAAAGGAAGGGACGGGATTAACCTGGACTGGACTGTCGACGGGCTTCTTTTTTGAATCGGTATGTTGCCCGCCCCCCCCTCGTTACCCTGCCTAGGTAGGTCCATGTAGTGAAGAGGGAGAGGATGCTGACGAAGCCACCACTCAGGCATTGTCCAACGGCCTCACCGGAATAGATGCAAAGAACGGCAAAGCAACCATAATCGACTCCGGCACCGGACTCTGGCCAGCTTCTTTGCAATCGCACATCGGCCGCGCCGTCTCCGAAATCCTGCGCCATCCGGACCTGACCAAAAACAGTTACCTCTCCACGGCCTCGTTCAATGTGTCGCAGAACCAACTCCTGGCCATTACTGAAGAATTAACAGGCAAGAAGCTGAATGTCACCCATGTGGATTCCAAGGATATCCACAACAACGGTGAGGAGAAGCTGGCCAAGGGCGATTATAGCGCGTTTGTGGATTTCCTAAAGGTCCACTTTCTGGCGGACGGGGCCGGAAATGAACTGAAGAAAGAGGAGAGCGCGAATGAGAAGCTGAGACTCCTGACGGAGGATGTGAGAGCAGTGGTCAAGGGGTGGTTGGAGGAGGAGGGGTTGTTGGCTGCTTAGACCTGGAACGTTGATTGTTCAGTGTCTTTGCTGGGTTCGCAACTTCGCATGTGTGGAGGGTACCGCACGAGCCATCAAGTTACAAGGTAGTGACTGGAGGTGTTTGAAAACAATGGTTGGTGCGCAAATGCCTGGTGTCTTCGTTGTGTCTCATGATGTGACATTTGAGCGTTGAAGCTTCTCAACCTACCTGTATTACTGTCAATGGCAGTCAAGGAAAGATAGCAGCATCAAGAGGAGCTAGGTAGGTACGGATCGGAAAGGCATCAGCAAGATTCAATACGCAATACTAAATTTCCAAAATAGCATATTTAAGTGGAAAGGTGAGATTATGCCGTGGTCATGGAACGGAACGAATCGAACAGATATGAAAACGCCTGGGCAAGTTGACTCAAGGTCTCGAGCTAACACAAAAACCAGCATTGGACTTAATCAACGGTGTTTCATTCGGGAACCGTAGCAATTTTCTAAGCTATACTAGGCATGGCTATACTTCGCTAAGGTTTCTCTCGCTCGACACTACACATTAAAACCACCATACTGAACGAAAGCCACATAAAAGCAGCCACAATCACTTCCTCTTCTCTCCGGCGTATGTATCCATCGACGGCACTTGTGCCCTCTCTTTTAACACAGATGCCATGTGCTGCCTCGGGCTTATCACACTTTTGCTTTTGTCCGTCTCAGTCTGGTCGTCCTCGTCTTCAATAACATTCTCATCGATTTTGCGGCGCTCACTCGCCCTGGCTGATGCCGCAAAGTACTCGCGCCTCGTCGACACCTCCATAAAGCGGCAGTCGAGCAAAAAGTCCGCCAACATGATTAGTCCGCGGATCTTTTGCGTGTTGCCCAACGGATGTTCACAAAGAAAGTTGTTGTCCTCAGGAATGTCTGCATGCGTCTCATTGTCATCGTGCACCACGTCAATAGCAAAGCGTGCAAAAAGCTGAAGCCGGCTCACTATACGGAGAAACATCGATTAGTCACTGCGTCATATCCTGGCAAAAGATGTTCAAACTCACAATGCCCTTCAAGAAACCTAGTCTCATCCCCTTTGAGTAGAGCAATCAAAGCACGACAACCAATCTTGGTTGCCTCGTCCACTTCTGCCTCAGTCAGACGGTTCGAATAATTCCACCACTTCTCCATGTAAGGCTCGAGAAAGTTATCAAAGCTGTATTCGACGCAGCGCTTGCACCACACCTTGAAGACATCATCATCACGGAATCCAAGCGCTTGTGCCACTTCCCGAAACTTCTGCGCAATCTTGATGACTGCGCTGAGGGAATCCGAAATAAGAGGAGATGGTATCATTGCCAGGGGACTAGGCAGTCGCTTTGTTGAAGTTGGTACAGAGCGGGTAGAAGCTCTCGTCCTTGAACGCGGAGACGATGCCCTCCGTCGCAAAGGCGGTGCATTATGGGGTGAGGGTGAAGCGCTCTGGACCGGAGAAACCAACCTCGGGAGTGGAGCGGATGCATTCTGTCGCGAAGACGATGCCCTCTCACTCGCCCTTGGGCAAGATGATGTGATGTCGTCGATTGAGGGGTAATTGGGGACTATGGGAGGAGGAGGTCCAGCAACGTCAGAGAAGCGAACTCGAGATTCTCTGACAGTTGGACTTGACTTGGCGGTGGTGACTTCTGTGGTTGTTGACTCGATGGTATTATTCTTCCCGATGTCGATAGGTTTGGGGATCGCCGACTCCCTCGTGGCCAGTGTCTGAACCTGGTGTTGGATATCGGGCTCTAATAGTTTAAGGAGCCCAAGACGATCCGGAGACTCGAGCTGTGTGCATTCGTGTCAGCTGCTGGTTAACACCTCACTGATGATGATGAGAGTCGGTACATATGCACTTACATCTGCTGGCTGGAGGCCCATTCCAAAGGCTTGGGCTTCCCTGCGGATCGCCTCGCGATAATCATGCATTTCTGCCGCGGTGGCGCGTGGAGAACCTGGGGCTGAAGCTGGCGCAGAAAGGGGCCGTCTTTCTCCGGAGGGGTTTCGTTCACGCGTCTGTGACTCGGACATGGAGGAGCGTCTTGCGCGTCGTCTTCCTTCGAAGCGGTTCTGGTCACTCATCTTGACGACAGCTTGAGTAAATGATCTTGGTGATTGGTATTCAAACGATGCGGGGGATCTTGCCCAAAAGAGATGTTCCAAATGTCCAAAAAGAACCGCGTTGACAATGTGGATGTGTGATTTTGTCGTGGGGTAGAAAACAGAGAAAAGAGAAGGAGAAGCAAAAAGACGAGTAGGGCGGGATACTTAAATAAGCCCCAGCTCAAGGCTCCATCCTAGGAAATCTTGGGCCTGGAAAGGGCTATGATAACGCGCAGTTGCCATTGACGCAGAGGGAAAAAAATAAGGCAGGCCATTGCAACCCGATATGGCGATATCCCCGGTCGAAGTGGTCAAACCCGCACACCCACCGTCCAATACCGCTCGTTGCGATTGGGGAAAGGCCGTTGCAAAATTTGTGATAGGGATCACAATGATGTCTAGAATTTGGATTCAAAGGCATTATATAGACACATCCACGCGTGCAAGAGTATTTCAAAAGGTGTAATGTGGTTGGACCATGCGAGGGAAGGCGAACTTCGGCTTTCGATCATCTCTCCTCCTGGATAGCGTCATAGAAACCTGGCCTTCAAGACAACCTAACCAAAGCGGAAGCAGTGACGATGCTGGAGACTTGGAACTGGAAATGCGGCCTTGCCCCCCGTCGTGTCGAATAACAGCATAGCAAGGAACGAAGGAAAAAGTTCCTGGTCGTCTTAGGTGGTTACAGAGCTTCGTTCACATGTGTTATCTCGGGAAGGTGTCGATGTTCCCGCCGAACGTACCTAAGGTAGTCCAGCGATCTCCGTGGCTGCCCACCTTCCAGAACTGCTCCGATCAAAGCGCACTGGTGATTTGGTAACAGCAACCAGCTACCGTGGCTTCCTGATTAACACGGCATTACAGGGCGCCTAATCCTGCCTCTGGGCAAGGGGGCATGGAATGCAATCGATGGGACATGGTATCCAGGAGGATGTGACTGGGTGCAAAAGTACAAAGTAATGGGCTTCTCCCACGGTCTGTCTATTGAACATAACATCTAGGTAGTTCCTGCTATCGATCGCAAACCAACCGCCACACCCTAGGAACAATGAATGACTGGCTGGGCACTGACCGTTGCGTCAAGATCACTCAGAATCTAAATGAGGCGCTCTCCAAACGGGTCCTGCGGTCGATAACGTAGGTAAAAGCCCCAGTCTCCGTCCATTCCCATCTAGCCATTTTCTTTGGTCCCTTGTGGGAAGGGTTTTGCGCCGCTGTT